TGTAATAATAATAACATATAATATAATAATAATGTATAATGATGATAATATGAGACATACAGACCCTAACCCTAATCATTGTGTTTGTTGTTAAATGTTTTGATCCAGAGTCAGAAATAATCTGCAGTTTAAGGTTTGTTGTTGTTATTGTTTACCTGTCGGTTTGTTGTTTACCTGTTGTGTCTCTGTGTTGCAGTTCCCAGAGGAGCTGCAGAGGCTCAGCAGCAACCTGCGGACAGTGGATCTGTCTGGGAACAAGATCGAGGTTCTTCCTGCCGCCATCGGCAACTTCCTGCAGCTCAAGAGTCTGACGCTCAACTGCAACAGACTCAGTGAGTTCATTGATCACTGATCATTATCATTGATCATCATCACTGATTATCATTACTGATCATCATCAGTTCATCTGTTGATTATTTATAATGTAAGTTATTGACTAGTAGATCAATAGGCAGTTTAACTGTAGGAGAAATAAATGAACGTTAAGGTCAGTAATTATTCACATCCTGTGCAGTAAATGATCAATAAGTGAGATCAATAATAGTAGTAGAGCATGAAGTATTCCTGTAGTCCAACGCTGACGACTTCCTGGTTCCTTCCACAAACAGCCAATGAGATTGTTCCATTTAAACAGTCACATGACTTCAGCACTAAACCTCCAACTTGTAATGAAGCGTAGAATTAAAATGTCCAGTAGTTCCAGAGGAGCTCACCTGGTCGAGCCTCAGGCACCGAGTCCCTGCTGCAGCGGCTCAGGGTTCGAATCCGACCTGCAGCCCTTTGTTTATTTATTGTTTGTTTCTGCAGCAGCAGACTCTGTTTGGTCAGAGGTACTTAGCAGCAGATATTGATTGGCTATTAGCAGCTAGCACTATGAGCTAACGTCAACCTCCCAGTGAACACAGCCGGACCGGGACCGAACACAGACTGACAGAGAATTCGAGGTGGATTTATTGCCGGGTTTGGCTCCTGGTGTCCCGGGGCAGTTAGTGGTTGGCTACTGATCAATCTGTCCATCAGGAAACTCTGTAAATGACCTCGGTACTGTAACGTCATTCCCTGTCGGTCTCGGAGGCTGTGTTCGATCCCGGTCCGGCTGCTGAGCCCGGTTCAGTCGCCCGCTAATGGGAAAATATTTTCTCCATAAAATCTGATCCAGTTTCACCAGAATTACTGAATACAGTTAGAAAGTTCATTAATCACTGATGTTCATTAACTCGTGTTTTGCTATAAAGCTAAATGTTAACTGATTTATTGATTTATTGATTTTATCTGGAGGAACAAACTACATTTCTAACCATACTTTACGCTCAACATTTCTGGGTTCTGCAAGGCCATTATTATATATTTATACTGTTACCATGGTGCTGTCATTTATATGTTTTATATTAATTTAACTTTCTCCTCCTGTTTTAGTTTCTTTGTTTTAAACCAAAATGTGATTTTGAATTCAGATTTCAGTCAGCTGAGATCGATTGATCGGACCTGAGGCTCATTAAGGTTTCTGATCAGAACAAACTCTAAATCGATCAGACCTTCATTCCTCATTAGAAATAATCAAATGATCAATAAACCAGAGTTCCTGCAGACATTATGTGATTCCAACCAGTTCAGTTTAAATTGAGTCAGAGTGAACTGGAGAGGATTTATCATTTAATGTGTTAATGTGTATATCTGAAACCAATCAACATTTCAATTGATTAAATATGAAATCACTTTGAATTAAATGTTTTTCAAACTGACTGAAACCTTAAATCTGCAGTTTTTATAGGAAAGTTTGGTTTGAAAAAGTTCCTCCAGTCGGACTGACCTCGGATCAGATTCATTAAACCTCAGCTGTCCATCAAACCGCTCGCTGCATCTCATTGGACGGTGACTGACAGTCCTCTTTTAGGTCCTCAGACTGACACGTTCTACTATTTTATTGTAGTCGTCTGTTTTATTGTTGGACTGATTCACTCTTATTATTTTATTTCCTTCTATTAACTCCATTCTGTTATCTGGTCGTGTTTTTGTTTCTCGGTTTCGTTGCAGTCGGCTCCAAACAGAAAGAAAAAAACAGATGAGAAGCCAGAAAAACAAGAATAAAATGAGAGGAAACAAAGCGGTCGACCTTCAGCTGAGAGTGTGTGTGTGTAACAGTGTGTGTGTGTGTGTGTGTTGCAGAGGGATTTCCAGTCGTCCCAGTTCGGGGAATTCCCTTCATCCCAGCAGAGAGACGGGCGAGCGAGGGAAGAGCGACACCAAGAGGAGACAGAGAGAGATTTTATTCTCTTTATTGGGAATGAACATTGTTTGATTGTTTCTGTTTTTATTAAACACATTATGATATTATTATTATATATAAACTAAGGATAAAGAAGAGATTCAAACACCAGAGGAGTTGGTTTTATTCACACAGTCCAATAGCACAGAATGAACCTTTAACAGGACAAAAACAGGGAATATTCAATAAAATTATAAATATGTAATATTTTAATAAAACTGAATGAAAGAAGTGATTTTATTTCTCTGACTGATAATAAAATAATAATTCTGATCACTCTTCTTTTACTGATATTATTTCTTTTGTTTAGAAGAACCACAAATATTAGTTCTGTAAATGCAAATGAACGCATCATAAACACAGTATTTATACAGTATATACGGTATATATACAGAATGTACTGTGTGCGTATAGATTAGTGTTTTGAGTTTGAGAACAATTTGTGAAGATGCAGCCGAGGAGTCGGAGAAAATCTCCTTTTGTCCAAAAATGCAGAAAGTGAAATTCTGCCGACTGGAGAAAAATATTTGTTTACAGTAAAAAGCATTAATCACAGTTTACCTTCCTCTCTGTTTTACATTATTAACGACGTTAGCATTATTATATTATTTATTAAATTATGAAGAAGTACAAGAAATGTTTTTATTAATGAGAACATTTTAATTAACTCAGTAGATCTTTATCAGCTTTATTTCCAGGTTTCTGTACTTTTTTAGTTTTTATATTTCAGATTTTTTACTTTTACAGTTTAAAAACAGGATTGTTACTTAAGTGTGGATGCATCTGAGGGGATTATTGATTATTGATTATTATTTTACATCATTACACACCTTCCCAACATCAACACTGGTTTACACACAGGACAGAGCTAACATGGAGGAAATCTGTTCACTGTCCACAGAAACAGTCAGAAACATCAGTACTTTTACTGTTATACTCTGAGGATTTCAGTATAAGATACTGTACTCGGTAAGAGTATAAAAGTCCTCACTTGGTTTCTACAAACTGTCTGTTTGTCTTTTATGTCGTTTTCTTGGTCTTACGTCTGTCATGTGAACTGTTCAATGATGCAAACTAATAATAATAATCAATGAATGCATTCAAACTAAAGTAAAGCCTGTTTTTAAACCGTAAGCAGAAGAAAGTTCAGATATTTGT